CTTTTATGCCTTTTTTCTATAATATAAAGCTTGATTTACAAGAGCATCGACAATTAATTGGAAGAGCAATAGCACTTAAGTGTAGTTTTTTATGGATTACCGAAAAGAATATCAAAACTCGGCATCCTGACGATATTAACATATCTGAAGAATATGTTGCGGAAGGATTGATATTTCGAAAAAACTTAAGTAATAGCTTTTAATTAAAAACACATTTTAGGATTTTCGATTATGATTTCATGAGATATACCACCTACTGTGCGTTTGCTGTCAGCTTTTGCAATCATTTGGAGAGACCAATTTTCGCGTCCTGCATTCTGTCATACCTTTTGCATGCCAAATTTAAATTCTATAGGCACAAAAATGATCAGTTATAAGATAGATATTTGAGTAACATGAGGTTAGACATGATACCTTATTAGCATGAAGAGACATCAGTTACAAAGCATAAACAATTTTTTTGGTATCTGGCACGTAATAGTTGAGTTCAAGGCTCTAGAAGCAGGGATTGCTGGATCTTTCTTAACAGAAATGTGCAAAGACCAAATAGCGCTTTATACGCAAAACTTTGAGAAACTCTTTTTATTCTTACGAATCATAGGTGAAGATTTGGTTCCAGAACAGAAGAATGAAGTGGAAAAAAATGAACAGACCATGCAAAAAATCCTTCCTCACCTATGGTCTCAAAGCAACTGTCAACTATAATATTCGTCGTTCGCCGCTACAGCTGTGGCCGGAAGAGAACTCCGCTCCAGCTCAGAGACCGGTTCTCGGAAGTACAGCCAACAGCCTTCACTGCCCACTCAACTTCCAAAAATTCGGGCTTAATCAATCTGTTTCCCTCAGTTCCGCTGCGATAACTGGCCTGCCAAACGCTTGCAGTTTATTCTAATTAGAGTCGATTTCTCCAACGGGTTGAAATTGTGCTCTCGGTCATGTTTGCATACTGATTTAAGCCTAACATTACGTAAAGTAATCAATGGCAAACTTAAAGTTTATTCATCAGCGACACCGGAGACGTAAATGTATATCATATAAATCGCGTATTTATGTTTTCGTTCTTAAAGTCAAGTTTTTGACAGAAGCATACATATGAAGTAGTATGGACCTTATGTTCGTCACCTTAGACAGTTTATTATACGGAAATGTATGAAGAAAACTGAACCGAACAGTAGGCGAAACACTTCGTTTTGGGCATTGTCCGGGTAGTGTTGCGATTAACTTTAGACGGAAAATCTTTGCCGTGTCTACGCCTGTTGGTCACAAGAACGCAGTCCTGATATGTTCCCTTCGCCTGACAAAGTCCTCCTCTTTGAAAAAACCCTAAATGTCTTGAAAAACCTTTTAAATAATGATGGATCTACTTCCCCGGAACAGTGTTCGGTTAAGATTTATCGTAGGGCCGCCCAATGGGCAAAATCACCCAGCCCAAGTTTCTTAGTGAATTCTTCGTTAAAGGAGAATAAAGTGGTTGCGTAAACCACGTGCCGTATAGGTGCGTGATACCTACGCCATAAGAAAAAAGTTAAAACCGTTCATAATTGCCTTACTGAATTAAAAATGTAGATTAAAAGGGTGCTTAATGGACAGAAAAGACTTAAAATGATGCCCGCAGAGCAAGAAAACTATTAGAACAACTCCTATTAGTTAACATAATCCAAGACGCGTATGAATAGGCGTAAATTCAACCTATTGAGAACTTGCAAGTAGTTTTTTTTAATTATTAGTACCTTCACTCAGGTACGATAAATCCCTACCCATTTTTCCGGAACCCCGACCCCCCTGTGATCCTGTTGACAAAAAGAGCAGGCCGTACGTGGGGTGACACTTTTATTTGATAGATGTGCAAATGCGATCAACACATGCGGCTCTGTGTTCAAAGCAACAAAATGGAAGTGCGTATGTGTTAGACACAGTACGCAGGAAAGGAACGCATTTGGCGTTCAGATCACCAGAAGGTTTGACGCCATTTCTTTCGTTGCAGCTGCCGTTCCGCCTCCAGATCACTGTCTTCCTTGTCCAGAGCAGCAATGTGGAAGAGGTAACAAGCAAAGACCTGTATGCCTTTAATATAGTTGTTGATTGAGAGTCTTTCGTTCACTTCGTGATGAAAGTCCAGGCACTGACCCATGGGAATCAGGACAACATCTCGGTTAGTGGTTTCCTTTGAAAGTGAAAGGACCAAAGTGACTTTCGTAACAGGAAGTTAGCAGTGTTTATGCCAACTGAGGTGCATGTAATAGAAAAAAGAATGAGCACTGTTCGCACTCTCGGTATTGAGGAATAGGGACCTTTAATTAACTCCCCAGGGTTGTTTTTCGCTGTATCATAGGAAGGTGCACAAGTTCAG